ATATATATATATATATATATATTTCACTCTTTTACATTTTATTTAAGATAATTCAATAATTGGTTTATCATTGTTTGCAGCAACCCCCGCTATTGGCGATGCCTCGAAGAATCAAACTCCACCAACACTTCTTTCAAGTTTAAGAAGTGTACTTTTCGTTATTGGAACTGTGGTAGTCGGATTCGCTGCTTTTTGCAATTCTCTGACATGGTAATGCAATACGTCATTTCTGCTTTACGATTCGCATAAACAGAGTTATAATTAAGTTTTTCTCTTAGCTCTTTTTTTATTCTCGATTGGTTAAATGTAAACTTTAATAAAATGAAACGTAGGTAAAATTTTCCTTTTACACAGTCAGCTCCAAAAGATCTCCAACTGATTTTGACCTTGACTTTGACCCTTAAGGAGATCAAGGTCACTGATCTTTTCTGTCATTTGTTATTTATTAAAAAGTTATTAAAACAATTTTTATGCGGCCTTGTTAAGAAATACACAACTTTCCACGCGAAGCAAGGTCTATCTCCACCTCTCTCTGTCAAGAGAAAATACTACTGAAATATGTATCTTGTATTCGAAAATTACTTACTATTTTTAAAAATTGGTTTGTTCATAACTTTTTAATGAATAACGTTCGACGGAAAAAATTAGTGATCTGGATCTCCTTAAGGATCAAAGTCAAGATCAAGAACAATTGAAGGTCATTTGGGGTTGACTGTGTTAAGGTTGTGAAAGTTTTACCGAAAGGTATTAAAAAAATGAAAAAATGTTTAACTCAAAAAATTTAGCTATGAATCAAATATAACATTTAACAATTTATAATTTATTATATTATTAATTCTATATTTAACATTATATTATTAACTTTTATGCAATTTTATTTTACTTATAGTGTTTCTTGATTTCTTTTTTTACACTGTTCTTACTTATCTATTTAATCACGCATATATAAAACAAAAAGTAAAAGTATGATTATTAGGTATATAAATTTATTCAGTGCCTTGAACTTTATCTCTTATTATAATATATATACTATTTTAATAAATTCGAAAATTTTAATATACTTTTTGTGGAATTAAAATGTTGTTAATGCGTTCACAAATATTTTTTTACAAGGTGGAGCCAACAATATATTTTTAAAAAACAACAATTGAATTGAAAGGCGTCGATAAAATGTATTTAAGATATTATATTTTAACTAAAAACTACCGCTAAAATTATTTGCTGTCATTAAAGTTCCAATATTTATGCAATATTTGTAAAAAATAGCATCAGATTTTATAATGAGATTTTAATGAATGTCAAGAATGTCATGATCAACTTTGAAAACTGGTAATGGAAAATTACAGCAACTGGATGAGAACTCTGTACAGATACAAGAAGATCTCTTGCAGCTTAGAGTCGCTTGTTAGATATCCGTTTGACTGCAACAACTGAGAAAAATTTAAAAAAAGGATATGTAGATGGATTCCGTATACTAAAGATGAAGACAATTAACGAATGATGATATAGAGCCATAATTTTATTTATTCAGAAAAGAACAGATAGATTTCTTATATAATGGATGTTGAAATATGGATTATATGACAATTCTAAACATAAAAAATCTTCGGTAGATTCGGCCAATTGACGACAGCTAATTATCTAAGTATCAGTAGAATAATAGATCGCAATGTTAAAATAACGTTAAAATGAATTGTGAGTCATCAAAAAATAACTTTTAATAATTATTTTCAAGCCATTTTTACATTTTTTGATGTTATGATCACTGTTTGTTCTCAAAAATCAATATCCATGCTAAGGAATATTGCGTGTTTGAAGACATGGCAATAAGACATACTCTAAACTGCTAAATTTAGGTGAAATGATCACAGTAGATCTTTGCCAATCACTGTAATAAATCTCTGTCAATAACATATCATCAATTTGAACAATGAGTTGAAGAAAAAAAAAATTGTTTTGCATGTTTCAAAGAAACCACAAAGTGATCCTCGATAACTCATAAAGTGATTAAGGATATCATATTCTTAAGAGTGTTAATTTTTTTTCACATTTTTTGGCTTATTTACAGACATATTCTGTATTCTTTAGAATTACCATTTATTTTAATCGCTATAACATCTGTAGCTCAATTTTTCGTGACAGTTCAAGACATTGTTGTTAAACAACTTTTTTTATGAATATATATCTGCAGATAACAATATAACCCATACGCCACAGATGCCTTCAAAAGACGCTCTAAAGATCTAAAGACGTTTCCAGAATGTCTCTTAAATAAAGTGTATGGAAACAATATCGGTATTATCAAGAATTATAGAACATTATAAGAGTTACAGAATCGGAATATAGTATTGATATACATTTCACATTGAAAATGTTTAGATATCGTCTCGAAACTGCTAAGTTTTTATCATGATAGAATTCGGAATCCATTAAACATTTATAAAAAGTTCGATTCGTATTCCCAATGTGCCGAATATTCCGACACAGTGTAAGAATATAAATCATAGAATATATAAATATCGATGAAGATTACTCTATTTTTTTTTATAAATAAATTTTCAACTGAATTAATTTGAGTACCTAATTTTTCTAATATTATATGAGAAAAATAATCAGATCTTGATCGTAGATCAAGAAAGAAGAGCAAATAATTTTTTTTAATCTGATGTAAAACATATTAGAAGATAACAAATTAAATTTTTTGTTTCCATATGTTTATATGTATATATAACCACCCAAACATAAATCCAGCATTGCGTGAAAAAATTGTTTATATTTGTAAAACTAAATAAATTATCTTAGTTTTAATTGAGAAATTTATTAATTTTTTTTAGATTTTATTAACGAAAAAAAAATTTCAGGCATTTACAAAGATTCTGGGGTGCATCCGGAGACTTCTGGCAAGCTCAGTGGGACAAAATTTTGGATAAATTTGGAGATGATCCTGTTACGCTATGGGTTTACGGTAAATTCAAGATACACTTTAGAATTAATCTTTATAAATTCAAAGATATATGAGAATAACTCCTTAATATCTTACGTTTTAATATAAAATTATAGATAAACGTATAGACTAACGTAAAGAATACGTAAAGATTTCCGTATTGTTAATCGCTGCGCGTGTCTTAACGCCAAGGCACTACCATATGTGTCTCCTGATTTTGATAAATTCTTTAACTAATTCAAATTTAATATTTTTTGAAATATTATAAATAATAATTGCAGGATTTTTATAAATTTAAAATTTTTGAAAACAATTGAATTCTTATGGAATATCTTGATGATATTGGATATAAAGGATATATTACTATATTGCAGGATCCTTAATATTAACGATCGCGGTTTACTGGATCGTCGGTGGAATTTACATTATCCTAGACATCACCAACCGGCCAGCGGTGCTGCGCAGATACAAAATACAGCCCGGTACAAACGAGCCAGTGGACAAAAGGGAGTTATGCAAAGTGATCGCTCAAGTACTGTTCAATCAGATCGTCGTCGGCTTACCTATTATGTATCTCGGCTATTACTTCATGGAATGGCGCGGTTATCCCCCGGTGCGCGAGCTACCAACGTTTCACTGGGTGCTCGCCGAGATCGCGATTCATATACTATGCGAGGAGATTGGCTTTTATTACTCGCACAGGTACATCCTGCTTAAACAATCCAGAAACTTATACATAATGACAAATTTTACATTTGAAATTGTCAATTTTATTGACTGATATCTGATGAACCGACAGAAAAAAAATATTATACTTGATAAATTTAAGTATGGAAATATTAATAGATCAAGATTATATCAGAAATAAATATTATATTACTTTTATAAATCTTATATTACTTGAGTTAATTAAAAAGAAAAAAATTAATATATATATATTAATACAAAATTGAATGATGTTACCAGTGTGTGCTAAGCAGATGAAAAGAACACGCACTTAAGTTATATACATATATTTTATATTTATATTTATATTTATATTTAAATTCTGTTAATAACGTCTATTTTAATTTATGAATCTAAAAAAGTTATTACGTTTTTTTTAAAAGGAAAAAAAATTTATATTATTACATTGAAAATATTTCTGAAGATAAAATTCAGACAGTACATTTATGTTAATCTCGCGATTTCTGATATTTTGCTAATATGTCTTGATATTAATTTTAATTTCAGTTTATTTTCTGATATATATCGTATTAACACGTAATGCTAAACTATTATTTTTTTTATGTCGGCAATTTCTGTCAAAGCTACATTTGTTCCATATTATGAAAACTTGCTTATTTTCTACTAATTGAAACAGCAAATATAATCGGTTGTTATCTGCTAATAACATAATATGCAAGCACACATTTGTAATACATGTTCTTGACATATCTCCTGCTAAATATTATTATTGTCCATCAGACAAAAATTTCCTGCTAAATATATTGGATTGTCCGGAAAGTTCGTGCCGATTTTTGGTAGATGGAGTAAGGACAGGTCTGAATATATCATTGAAAACAAATGACATGCGTACATATCAAAAAAGACAGTATTTCAGGCATACTTGAAAAAAAATTTAGTTGTGAAAATTTTTATCAGTTTTATACGACTTTGAATATGGAAAAAAACAAAGTGCATTTTAGACATTTAATGCTTTTCTTTTACCGGAAAAACAAAAATGCCAAACAAGCGGCAAACAAGATATGCGCTGTTTATGGCGAAAGTGCTGTAGCTGAAAAAATTGTGCGAAAGTACTTTGCTAGGTTTAAAGCTGATGATTTCAACCTTGAAGATCAAGAACGGCCGGGTAGGCCCTCCACCACAGATGAAGATCAGATTAAAACACTGATCGAGAATAACCCACGCTATATGATAACGTAAATTAGCAGAAATGTTGAATATGTCAAAATCCACCATCCACGAGCATTTTGTGAAACTTGGCTACTTAAACCGTTTTGATGTATGGGTTCCCTACGGAACCCATTTCTCCTTTAACGGAGAAAAATCTGATGGATCGCATTTCTATTTGTGACTCTATAAACGCAACGAGGAGACATTTTTGAAGCGAGTAGTGACGGGGGATGGATCATTTATAATAATTGTTGCGAAAAAGATCTTGGGAAAAGCGGAATGAATCACCTTTAGCCATCCCAAAAGCCTCTTTATCCAAAGAAGATCATACTCTATGTCTGGTGGGATTGGAAAGGGATCTTGTATTATGAGCTTTTACCAAACAACGAGACGATAAATTCAGAGAAGTATTGTTCCCAATTAGACGAATTGAAAACAGCAATTGAACCAAAACGTCCAGAAATAGCGAATCGGAAGGGCGTCGTGTTTTATCAGGACAATGCGCGGCCTTATGTGTCTTTGATAACTCGACAAAAATTGTTGGAGCTCGGTTGGGATGTTCTATTCCATCCATCATATTCACCAGACCTCGCACCCTCTGATTTCCACTTATTTTCATTTATTTCGATCATTACAAAATTCCCTTAATGGAAAAAGCTTCAACTCTTTGGTTGAGATAAAAAATCACTTAGAAAAGTTTTTCGCTGAAAAATCTGAGAGATTCTGGAAGGATGGAATTTTCAAGTTGCCTGAAAGATGGAGAAAGGTTGTAAAACAGAATGGCACCTATATAATTTAATAAATGTATACTAAAATTTAAATCTTCTGTGTTTCAATTTTCCTTCAAAATCGGCATGAACTTTCTGGACAATCCAATAATTGTTCATCTTTTATTAATCTTTTACATCCAGATATTGTTAAATATACAAACATATCAAACACAAATAATTAAACCAATGATCATTAATGAACATTTTTTGCAGATTTCTTCATAAGCGTTCCCTATACAAATATATACATAAACAACATCACGAATGGACTGCTCCCATAGCTGTGACTGCTTTGTATTGCCATCCCTTGGAAAATATTGGATCGAATCTACTTCCACCTTTCTTAGGTGTATTCATCATGGGCTCCCATGTAGCCACTGCTTGGATTTGGTTCTCGCTTGCGATTCTTTCGACGTTGAATGCACATTCCGGATATCATTTACCATTTTTCCCATCGCCGGAAGCACATGATTTCCATCATTTAAAGTAATGCAAACCTTATTAATATCTTTTTAATTTTAAATCACATTAAAATGATTTCGTTTTATTTATTCTATTATAATGCTTAAAACAGATTTTGATAACGTAATAAAATATGATGTTTATACTGAATTTAACATTAAAAAAAATCAAGATTTATAATTATTTGATTATACAATCAGTTTATAATTGCTACATGAATGCTAATGACTAATGAATATTTTTAGGTTTAACCAATGCTATGGTGTGCTCGGCGTTTTAGATCGCATCCACGGTACCGATACACAATTCCGTAATTCGCGGAATTACACACGACACATAATGATGCTTAGTCTTATACCGCCCAGGGAAGCTTTCCCAGATGAGGCAAAGTACAAGTCAAAGTAAAGGGACCCTTCGATAATTCTATATGAAAGTTCTCTAATCTCTGAAGAAAAAAATCTATTCGCGTTGAATGCAATATTTCTGCAGCGATGACCGAGTCGAAAACAATAGATAAATAATAAATATAATCAATTTTATCTGGCTGGATATTGACAAGCTTTCTAAAAAAAAAATTGAATTAATTTAAATAAATGCGTTTTCGATCGATCCTTTTTGTAATCAATCTCAAATATCTATTTTCGAGAATTCATTTAAACACAATTTACTTTTATTTCTATGAAGAATATTTTATAAAGAATAGATCCCGCTTCTTAATATTAGATTAAATGTTGGTATTCAGAGAGATATCCTTTTTGAATCAATTTTTCTTTATTTATTTCTGTGTCAAAGTTTGAAATTTTATATCTTTTTGGAAATTAATTTAGTGTGTCATGTAGCGCAATATTTTAATTTACTGATTAAAGGATTCTCGTGAAAGAAACTCGGCTCTCCGCTCATTGATCTAGTGATAATGATTGTGTATATACAAATGCCATTCAAGGTTGGACTGAATAGAAAAAAATAGTAAAATGTTTAAGGCGTGAAAATTGAATTTATACTTTAAAACTATTATAATAAGATAATAAAATTATTAATAAGATCAAAGTTGATTTTACTTTAACAAAATAGATTTTCTAAATGTTGATTAGATTGTTTATATTAAATAATTTATATTATTTATTTTTAAAAGTCTTCAGTAAAGCTCTCAATTTTCGAATTTATCCAGACAACAAACGCATGTTCAAAACTGAGACGTAAAATGTCTTATTTAAAGATTCATTAAAAGATATCTAAGAAATGATGTCTTAATGATCTTTAAGACGTCTTATATTCCGATTTTTGACATGAGTGCTCTCTAAGTATACATATATTAGATTGATTCATAAATAAGTTTCGTTGCATGTAATAATTTATCTTTTCTGAAAATCTTAAGTTCTAATTTCATCTCTAATAAGTTCCTCAATCGTAAATCCTTAGATATATATTGGGTTGTCCGGAAAGTTCGTGCCGATTTTGAAGGAAAATTGAAACGCAGAAGATTTAAATTTTTAATTTCATTTATTAAATTTAAATCTTTTACGGCAACTTTCCGGACAACCCAATATTTATGTATATATTAATGTATTTATAACTATGCATATCGTCTTATAAAATTGCGAAAGTAAAATCTTAAAATAGAAGATTTGAAAGTATATGTATGTACATCACATAATGCCTTGAAAATTTAAACAAGAAAAATGCTGTTGTAATAAAAAAAATTTAAATTACATATGGTGAAAGTGTCATAACAGATCAAGCAGGACAAAAGTGGTTTGTGAAGTTTTTCTTCAAAGAGAAACTTCAAAAACCATAGATAAATCATTCCGATTTCAATAATGTTTTCAAATTATTATGCAAAATCCACATTATATAATAGACCACGAAAAGTAGAGATACATTACTTGTCATATCAAAAAAAATCTGATAAAAAAAATACAATTTATTTATGAATCAACCCAATACTTTAGTATGTATACAATACAAAATTATACTATAAATTCATTTTCTTAAAATTATATATGTGATTGTATATGCTAAATATAAAATTTTCTAATAATTATTTCTTGAATTTTTCTTTCAGTTCGACCTTGGCGCCATTCGTACTTTTCTATAATATTTGTAGAAATTATATTGTTAAAAATATGTATTGTGTATTTAAGCTATATATTTATGCACAAGTTCTTACATTAAGTTTAATAGTGTAATATATTTTATATTTTTCTGAAGCTTCTTCGATACAATCGAATTAAAAAGTTTATATTTTTTATAATGATGAAAAAGATAAAATTAAAATAAAAATTAAATATATTATTATTATTATTCTAAAATTTCTGTTTTTTAAATTCTCATTCTAATTGATATTTCAAATTATTTTTGTAGTATTTTAGTATACTGCATTGTAATGAAGTATATTGCATTGTAATGAAAGCTTCAGAACAAATAATTTAATAACATTTATGATGTGAAAATAACTATTTTTATATTTAGTTCTATAGACCGAGCGCAGGCATTAGCTTGATTTAGATTTAATCTCAAATGAGATCTAAATAATTGTACTTCTTTAAAATAAATATAACTTACTAGAATATTAGAAAACGACGTTAGAGATTTGGATTTCTCTTTACATTGAGAGAAAAGTATGTTGAATATATTGATTATATAGATTATATAGAGATAGAGATATTGATTATATAGATAGAGATAAACGTACACATATGTATAACACCAATAATTTTATCTGAATAACAATGAATCTTTTTTTTTGTCATAAAATGTTTTCACGACATTCTGTATTGAGAAAGAACTCTATTTATGGAAACTAAATCAAAAACAGAACCATATATCCTAATTTGTTTTATTTTATTAACTATTTTTGTTAAAATTTTTGTTAAAATTTTGAATCATATTTGACAAAATTTTATCGCAGTATTCTTGAAGAACTTAAAAAGATTCAAAGAAAAAAATATATGTATAAAGTTATTATTTGAAAATCATAGATCATTGAAGATTAATGTTTGAGTACGCAGATGTGTAAAGCGTACACATACATATGTAAAACAGATAAAGCTCTCTTTCTGCATTGTGATCATTCATCGAGTTTAAAGTCTGACGCACAATTGAAGCACGGGCAATAGAAACAGAGTATATGAAACATTCTATGAAAAACCGTGTATTCTGATATACACGGATTCTAGTAGGTTGAAATTTGTTATTTCGTGTTCCTATTGTCTATGCTCTTCAATATTGTGTTTCAGGCTCAAGGTTTTTTACTAATTGTCATGGTCATATTGAATTATAATGCCATAAGCGAAAAATGAAACACTGAGGTTTTTTGCATGTCATTTGTAATTAAAGAGAATTTATATAAAACAAAATGATGAAATTGCTTTAAAATACTTATAAAAATACTTTATTTTTATGCCTATTTTTACCTTGAGTCAGTAAATAATCATAAAAGGCATGTTAAATAAAAATAGGCTTTTAAAAAATCTATTTTATTATATGTATTTTAAAAACCTAACTATTATATGTATTTCATTGCCTTTTATGATTATTTATTGATTGTCAAAGAGAACGTATACAAAAATGGGTCACGAACAAGTGAAGTTTTTACAAGTGTCTTAAAGCGATCTCATTATTTCGATTTATTTAAATTTTCTTTATTTATAAATGCCATGCAAGAAACTTTTTCACTTATAACGTCATGATCTAATATGACCGTGGTGACTAGTTAGGAGCATAGACTTTTATAATATACACTAGGCCGTTAATGACAGTAACTTCATTATTTACCATATTTGATATTGTAGGGTTTCCCAAAAATGTGGAAATTCTATAATAATTTTTGTAAAACGAAAATATCGAAAAATCATTCCAGACGAGGGCGAAATGATGATCCTGATTAATGTCAAATACAAGAAATTTCCATCTTTGTATGGCCACTGTTTTGAATGGAATCGTTCATAACAATTATCATCATTTTGCTCATCATCAAATAGCCCCGACTAACTCGAACAAATTTTAAGATTTATTCTCATTGATCAAACCTGAACATAACTCTTCATCGACACGATGAACAGAGAGGACGTGCCATTTGCCACTGGGACAAAAATAATATTTTGAAATAATGAAACATAAATTTCACCATTTTCCAATATCTTCGTTTTTTTACAAAAATTATTACATTATTTATATACTTTTGAGAAAACTTTGTAAATGAGTGACATAAAAGATCATGTGATAAGGCCGATGAACTGTTATTGGCCGATATAACAGTATGTTAGATCTATGTAATTAATATATATATATATATATATATACCAGTGTCCTCCAATATCTTTTAATATCGCACATGCGCATGATTCAGTATGTACATGCATACTTTTGAGAGCCATATATTTGAGACATTTGAAATAACTAGACAAGTTAGCGATCTAATGTATATAATAAAAGTCTGTAGTCAGAAGCCATAAGGTTCGTATTTAACATGTATTATTACCGTTACTGAATTTATATACCTATATGATAAGCTTATTAATAAAATCTTTACAAACATCATTTTCTTTCTTTTTCTCACTTTCTTTATTTCTCAATATGAAATCTTCATGAGATGATGTACATCATTTTAATAGGTGCACGAAATGATGTAAACGTGCGATTTGCAAATATATATATATATATTTTTTTTATAACAATATGAATATTTTTCTTTTACATAGATATAGTACAAAAATAATTATTATTATTGCTTTTTTTATCGTGTATATTTAATAAAATATAGACTTTCGAAGGCTTAAAATGCAATTTGCTTTTAAAAATTGCAATCTCAAAAGGTCTTATAAATTGAATAATTTTTTACAAATTATTGGCTATCATATTTACATAGTGAGACGATATTTCAATGATATCCTGCGCATATATGGCAATTATATAAAATATCCTAGATGAATTTATAAATGGATTAAACATTTGTAAATTATCCCGCAAAAAAAAAACAATCTTACAGATGCAAACAAAAAAATGCAACTAACAAACTTACAGTATATAAATCGAGTAACTCTTTGGTAAAATTTGTGTACAATATCGCATTTCATAGGTCTAACTTTTCTTTATAAACTACAATTTTTGCAGAAAAGATCGTGCACAATACTATTCGTTGAGAGAGCACTTCCAAAGCACAATACAATTCAATTAAATCGTTTTGAGTTTATATAAATTTAATTATTATTGTCAGATTTGGCAACTGGACCCTCTGTAAATCTTCTTTATATTCTCTAATACAAGAGGTGGCATCAAATGCGACATGTACATTTATATACAAAAGAAAGGAAAAATCGTCTTGAAAAGACATACAACATTTATACAAAAAT